GTGGGGGGTGGAATCCGCCTCATGGCGTGGCATCTTCCTGTGTCCCCGCAGCGCTGGCGTGGGCCGGACCGGGACCTTCATCGTCATCGACGCCATGATGGACATGATGCACGCCGAGCAGAAGGTGGACGTCTTCGAGTTCGTGGCCAGAATCCGCAATCAGCGCCCTCAGATGGTCCAGACGGATGTGAGTCACCTCCCCAGGCCCAGGCCCAGCGCCCGCCCCCGTCCTGGCCTCAGCTTCGCAAGGCAGACCCAGCCGCCTCTGCAGCCCTGCGTAGCTGTCCCCGAGGGTGTGTGGGCGACGGCTGTGCTCAGTAATGTGGCTGTTACATGATCTTTCTCAAGGCCATAAGCGGTCACTGTAATGGTCGCTTTTGCCCCCAAACCTGCCCCTGCGCCTGGAGCTGTGAGCCCTGAGCGGGTGCCAGGGCTGCAGGGCGCACTCCAGGCCCCCCTGCTGTCCCCGCAGGTGCAGTACACGTTCATCTACCAGGCCTTGCTGGAGTACTACCTCTATGGGGACACGGAGCTGGATGTGGCCTCCCTGGAGAAGCACCTGCAGACGCTGCAGGGCGCCACCACCCACTTCGACAAGATCGGGCTGGAGGAGGAGTTCAGGGTGAGCGCCCCCAGCTCCAAAAGAAGGCAGGACGGCTTACAGGAAGCTGCTTCCCGTGGCGTCCCCGCTGGTGGACCCTAGAGAAGGCCGGGGCTGGCCCTCAGTGACCTGCCCGGAAGGGACTGTGTGGACTCTCAGAGCTCAGCAGCATCCCAAGCCGGGCGGGGGAGGGTGTCTTGCACACACGTTTATTTCCCGACCCAGGGGAGGTCTGGAGATGGAGGTAGGTCCTGGTGCCTTGTATTAGGAAGCTGAGGCTGTGCCCAGGAGTGTCACGTTTTAACCGTGTGGTCGTGTCCTTTTGTGACGGCAGAAATTGACGAACGTCCGGATCATGAAGGAGAACATGAGGACAGGCAACCTGCCAGCAAACATGAAGAAGGCCAGGGTCATCCAGATCATCCCATGTAAGGCAGCCCCGGGCCTGGGGTGTAACCCCACAGGGCGGGGCGGGGCGGGGCTGGGCCCTGGGCCTTCAATTCCTGAAGGTTCACTTACCACCCAGCTCTGTAAACCAGAGTCAAGGGCAGGGCACCCCCTGGGCCAAGGGCTGCTCCCCAGGAAGAGAACACCCACCTGTGCAGGTGTGAGTGACCCTGACAGGCCTGGGTTTGTCAGGGGGCAGCGGGTGACAGGGGCCCAGAGCTGGGAGAGGGAGGACTTCCTGGCAGCGGAGGGCTGTTTCAAGCATGACTCGGGGCCTCCCGGTTCTGCATTTCATTGAATCCTCCCCTAAGCCTGGGCGAGGCCTGGCACCCCCGTTACACAGAGCAGGAGTCCTGGCCCAGGCGCGCAGCAGAACTTGGAGGAGCTCAGCTGAGACCTTCCAGGTCTTGGGTGAGGGCAGGCCAAGGAAGGGACCACAATGATCAGAGGAGCCATGGAGGGTGGGGCCCGTCTTGTGCAAAGGGAGAGCCTCACTCCAGACACCTCCCCGAAGGGCCAACAGCCCAGGACACCAGCAAGGTCTAGACAGACTTGCTCCGGAGGCCACACTGTGCGCAGAAAGTGCATAGGGACTGTCCAGGTGAAGATTTCCCAGCCTCAGATTCGCGTCCTGGTGGCCGTGATGTCCCTGGCTGGCTTCCCTGGGTCGCCTTCCTGCCCACATTCCTGTTACCCTTTAAACGCAGTGTTTGTCATGCTCATATTTTGGTATGAATGATCGCAATTCACGGCAGATGACAACCATACCTGAATTATTTTCAGAGCTTTCCTGACAGCACACCCCCTCCCTGGGCCACTTTAATCCACCTGTTTTATAAAGTAAACCTCCTGCCAGGTGACTTTGTTAGTAAGTTTTATGTTTCGGGAGCTTGCAGCGACACAGGAAAGCCCGCAGGGCAGGACGGGCGTGTTGCTAACCCAAGGGACACGCTGCCTTGCAGATGACTTCAATCGCGTGATCCTGTCCATGAAGCGGGGCCAGGAGTACACGGACTACATCAACGCGTCCTTCATCGACGTAAGTCCGAGGCCCTGGCTGCGCGGGCGAGGGAGACCCGCCCTCACGGACCCTGATCAGCTCCTGGCTCCGTCAGAAAGGCGCCACCTGCCTGCAGAAGCCCAGGCCTTCTTCGCATTAGTTATTTGCTTAGAAAAAGTGAAGGAGGAGCTTTGGAAATGAAGGCGACAGCTCGCTGCCAAGCGACTCAGTATTTCCCGTCTTGCTTTTATTATTAATTATTATTATTATTTAATACTCACCCGGGGATATTTTTTCCATTGCTTTTTTCAGAGGGGGTGGAAGGGAGAGAACGAGAGAAACATCGACGTGAGAGAGACACATCGATGGGTTGCCCCCCGCACGTGCCCTGATATCGGGGCCAGGGATAGAACCTGCGACCCGGGTACGTGCCCTTGTCTGGAATCGAACCCAGGACCCTTCAGTCCTCAGGCCAACGCTCCAACCACTGAGCCAAGCCGATGAGGGCCGTTCTGCTGTTAACACGTAGCGATTTTTCTTTCGCGTCTCTGTCACCGCCGGTTGTGCATCGGTGCTCCTGCGCGTGCCCTCCCTCCCCCCGTCCCCGCGTGGTTTCTGCGGCACATTCCTGCAGGACGCCGCGATGCAGGGTCACAGCCAGGTCTGCGTGAGGACTCCTGTTTGCAGATGAGAAAACTCTGCCAAAGGTCTCTGGGGCCCTAGTGGAGGAACTGGGATTTGAACCACTTCCTCCAACTCTGCACCCAGGGCTCTCTGCACCGCATGATGCCAACCGAACCGTAACACATGGCAGCCTCTCAGAATCAGAGCCACCAGGTGCTTTCCCAGGTGGCCGACAGGCAGGCGAGTGGCAGTGCGTAATCGCCTTTCAGAGGTGATGGGTGACAAGGGGTCCAGTCCCCAGAGAAGCGGGCGTCCTGACCTGTCTCCCGTGTGCGCTGCCCACTGCGGGCCTGGCCCTGCCCTGGAACCCGGGGAGTGTTTTCTCTCCCCCAGCCCCAGCTGTGCCGAAGCCCAAGGTCCTGTGGTGGGACCGAGGGAGGAAGTCAGCCTGTGACCTCTGCTCCATTCGCAGGGCTACCGACAGAAGGACTATTTCATCGCCACGCAGGGGCCCCTGGCGCACACGGTGGAGGACTTCTGGAGGATGGTCTGGGAGTGGAAATGCCACACCATCGTGATGCTGACGGAGGTCCAGGAGCGAGAGCAGGTGAGGGGCCGCCCAGCCCGGCCCCCAGGGGCGGTTTGCACACACTGGGTCCTCCCCACCCCGTGTGACAGGTCCGTGGTTGCAAACGTCCCACCTGCTGTCAGGTGGGGAGGTTCAGCCACAGCTACTGAGGTTGGAGCTGCAAAGGGTCTCATTTCACTCTTTCTTTCTTGTAACCATAACTACCCACCAGCTTTTGTTCTATGGTTTTATTTAACCTGCCTTGAGATTTCATTTTGTGTTTGCCACAAATACAAATCTGATCACAGCCTGTTGGAGAACAAGACACATATTCAGTTTTTCCAAGACATAAAGGTGTAGGTATTGATGAGCACGCCTAACTGACTCCCCCTGGCCAAGCTGAGTGAGTTCGGTGTTTCCTTTGTCCCAGAGATCCACCCATGGCCTTCTCGGATTAGGTATTTATTTAATAACATAATAAGGACTCGCAAACCCACCATCCAACTGAAAACCCCAACTTTTGCCAATAACGTACATCTACCTAGGTGCTCCCCCAAGATGTAACCACGCCCCCAAATTTGTGTTTTGATTTCTTTGCTTTTAAAAGACAGCTTTATTGAGATATAATTCGCATACCATACAATTCATCTTTTTAAGGGATACAGGCCAGTGGTTTTTAGTATATTCACAGAGTTACAACCATCACCACTCTCTAATTCCAGATCACTTTCATCACCCCAGAAAGAATCCCCAAACCCATGAACCATCACCCCCCATTCATCCCTCTCCATCGCCCCTGCCACCACAGATCTGCCTTCTGACTCTATGGATTTGCCTGTTCTGGGCGATTCACGTAAATGGAATCACAGCGTGTCTTTTGTGATTGACTCCTTTCACTTAGTCTAATGTTTTCAAGGTTCAGCCGTGTGGTGGCGTGAATGAGCTCTTCATTCCCTTTTACTGACAAATATTATTCCATTGTACGGCTGGACAACCTCTGGTTTAACCTTTCCTCAGTTGATGGACATTTGAGCTGTTTCCACTCTGGGGCTCATATGAGTCTCGTTATGAACATTCATGTCCAGGTTCTCACCTGAGTTCCTGCTTTCATTTCTCTTGAGTAGATACCCGGGTGGAACTGCTGGGCCGTATCATCACTCTGTATCGTAACTCATATGATTTACCATTTTGAGGACCTGCCAGGCTGTTCTCTGAAGGAGCTCCTCCAGTTTACACTGTGCAAGGTCTCCAGGTTCTCCCCATCCTTGCCAACACTTATTATTGTCTGTCTTTTTTATTAAAGCCATCCCAGTGGAAATGTACTTTGCTTAGAAAAAAAAAAGCATTCCTATCATATATGTGTGTGTCTGAAGAGACTGCTGATGCATTTTGCTTGCTTTTTGCTGTATATAAAAGGTGTCATCTCAGTATGTGTTCTTCTGGGACTTGCTGTTTCCACTCAGAGTTACACTTTGCTGTTTCTCTGTGTTGATGCCTAAAGCTGTCCTCATTAATCCTTTCATTATGTTCCACTGCACCAGCCATACACCAGGCGCTTCACGTATCCCTCTCCCTCTGTGAGCGCTGGGGTTGGTTCATTTTGTCATTTTACAAGCAGGGCTGCGGGCACACCCTTGTACATGTGTGCTGCACGGGGAGTGATGTGCCAGAGAGCCAGCATGTGCATCGGAGAGTGTGAGCAAGTTTGCATCTGCAAGGCCGTCCCTAATTGCTCCCCTAAGTGGTTGTGGTTTGTGGACACTGGACACTGGCAATTCTGAGGGATTTCATTTGTCCACACGCCCCATGTTGTCAGGCAGCCTCACTTTTGATCACCGGAAAGGGTAAACATCATCTCTTTGTGGCTTCGGTTTGTCTCTCTGACTCCCATGAGGCCGAGCCTCACCTCTTNTCACCGGAAAGGGTAAACATCATCTCTTTGTGGCTTCGGTTTGTCTCTCTAACTCCCATGAGGCCGAGCCTCACCTCTTATATTTTTTTTTTTTAAATATATCTTTATTGATTTCAGAGAGAGGAAAGGAAGGGGGGAGAGAGAGATAGAAACATCAATAATGAGAGAGTCATTGATTGGCTGCCTAGACTGCAACCCGGGCATGTGCCCTGACCGGGAATCGAACCCTGATCTCCTGGATCCTAGGTCGATGCTCAACCACTGAGCCGTGCCCGGCTGGGCTCGCCTCTTATATTTAGAGACGGCTTGGTTCCCCAGTACAAGGTTCCTGTTCATGCCTTTTACCCATTTTTCTAGCCGACTATTTCCCCTTTTTTGTTTCATAGGATTTTTTACACATTCTTTGTACTAACTCTTGTGGCTTTATGTATGAAAGTACCTTGTGGCAGCTGATGGCCTGCCCTTTCCATTCTCTTAGTGCTGCTTGCTGGGGACGTGAAGTTGATTTCATTGTCATCGGACGCTGCAATCTTTCATGTCGTGATTGGTTAGCTCTTTGGGGTCTTATTTGTTAAATCGTTCTGCTTCTCAGGTTTTCACAGTTTTGTTTTTGCCTTTAAGCCCTAACCTGTCAGGTTTGTTTTTATGAAGGTTCAAGCAGCCACGTATGTCGTGTAGTTGTCCACTGCCAGCTCCAGCAGGGGACGGACATTCCTATCAGGCCTGGTTGGCTGTGTGTCAGGAATCTAGGTCAATGCAAAACCAGTTTTTCAAGCTCCACTTATCAGATAATCTCTCCTTTCTGTCCGGTCCCTTCCATCCTGTGTCAAAGTTCCAAATACACACATCTATTCTGTCCCCTTGCTCAGTAGGCATTAATGGGCCTTCGTATTCATATTTGTGTCATTTTCTTGGTCCGACAAAATATGTTAAACCATTTGAGAGCAATTGGGTATCATATAGTTAAAACTGCAGGCAGCAAATTATTTATTAAGAGACTAAAAATTGAATTTTTTATCTCCCAAGGACAAATGCTACCAGTATTGGCCAACAGAGGGCTCAGTGACTCACGGAGACTTAACCATCGAAATAAAGAGCGACGCCCTTTCGGAAGCCATCAGTGTTCGAGACTTCCTGGTCACGTTCAATCAGGTACGGCTGCCGTGGCGGTCGGAGCCGTGGCCGGGCACACGCAGCCGCCCCTCCGGCCCGCTCACCTTGTTCCTCCAGCCCTTCCCGGAGCCCCACGCTGGTATCAGAGCTCAGTGTGCTGAATAGGGGGCTGTGTTATCAAGGAGCAGAAATCCTGTAAAATTCAGACCTCCGCGGTCACCTGCCTCCTTGCCGGGGGACAGGGATGACGGGGCAGAGTGGCCGACCCCAAGAGGCGCCCTGCCGCCCACTCTCCACTCAGGAGGGAAGACAGTGACCGGGGTCAGGAGGAGTAAAGGGGACAGATGAAGCCACAGAGGCCTCTCCAGGACTTTCTGCCAGGAGCCTTTTCAGAGCCCCTGACCGTCCCGGTCCCCGCGGGGTCCTGGGTTCTGCTTCTTGGCCAAGAAGGGGAATTCTGTAGGTCAGTCATAAGTAAGGTGACTCACCCATGGGACTTGGTTCTGAGCTCAGACAGCACAGCAGAGACCCAGCTTGCCCAAAGATATTTTCCACCCGTGCCAGTCTCAGAACCACCCAGAAACTAGACCCACGAACCGCTCATCTCCAGCCGTGACGGGTCACATGGAGTCCTCGCCTCTTAAGAAAGAGAGAGTTTTGGCCGCTCAAGCAGAGCTGCCAGGGGGATGGTAAAGGGACTCCAGGGATGTCCTCTGCACGTCTTTCTTCCCACTCAGAAGGAAGCAATGCCAGCTGTCCTTAGGGTAACCACAGTCGACAACAGCCTGTCTTTAGTGTGACCACAGTCGACAACAGGCCGGCCAGGAGCTGCCAAAGGCCCCACAGAGCTCTAAGTCTTGTCCTGAGTCCCCGGGAGGGTGGGCGGCCCAGGGGCCTGTTCCCAGGCAGAGAAGGGTGGGGGACCCAGCACCACTGAGATGCCCTTTCCTCCCACAGCCCCTGGCCCCCCAGGAGGAGCAGACCCGCGTGGTTCGACAGTTCCACTTCCACGGCTGGCCCGAGATTGGGATCCCGGCCGAGGGCAAGGGCATGATCGACCTCATCGCGGCCGTGCAGAAGCAGCAGCAGCAGACCGGCAACCACCCCATCACCGTGCACTGCAGGTGAGCGCCCCCTGCTGGGGCCAGCGCACAGCACACCCGGCCCACGCTCCAGGCGGCGGAATTCCCTAGACGGCATTTTCACCTTCTCTTGCACGTTTGCACACGTAACTTCACATAAATGCCATCTTAGCATCCATGCGGAATGCATTTAGTGGGAGGAGTTAGGAAACGATCCCAACACACATTTCCTCCTGCTTTTTAAGCCATCAAAAAAAAATCTCCAGGCGCAGCTCGGACAGACCCACGCTGAATGTCAAGGCGCTTGTTTTCCTTTTGAAAGGTTATTCTGGCTCAGGGGATAGCTCGCCTCCCGTCCTCTCCCCGGGGCGCTGGAAAAGGAGCTCGTGGCCTGACGTCAGCGCCGCGAGGGTTCTGCACCTGGGAGGCGCCTGGCGCACTCCTGGTCTGGCCAGCAGGTGGAGCCCGGGCCTCTGTTTGCAGTCCCAGGTGCCTTTGCAGGGGTCACTTAGAATAAACTAGCAGTGAGCCCCTCCTTGTTCTGCCTCTCAAAACCCGAGTGAGTTTCGAACAAGTCGGGCACCAGAGGCACACAGGTGAAGTGATCCACAGGGCAGACGTGGGACAGGTCCCTGCAGGGGAACAGGGGCCTAGAGCCAGCCCACCTTTACCTCTCCTTGGACCTGAACACGGAGGTGTCTGTCTGCATCATTAGGCGGGCGTTTGGTGAGTTCCAGCTGCTGCCTCTTGGTGAAAGCTCAGCTACATAGAAACGATTCTTAAAAGGCCACTCTCACATCACCCCACGACAGGCTTCAGCACCGACGTGTGGTGTTGGCGCCGTCCCATTGCCACCCACTGCGGGCATGGTCACCTGCATTAAGGGCTTTCTCTCCACAGTGCGGGAGCCGGGCGAACAGGTACATTCATAGCGCTCAGCAACATCCTGGAGCGAGTGAAGGCGGAGGGGCTGTTAGACGTGTTCCAAGCTGTGAAGAGCCTACGACTGCAGAGGCCGCACATGGTGCAAACCCAGGTAGGAAGCTCAGTGAGAGGGGTGTTTCCGGGGAAATGCGCTAAGTTGAAAGTAATCACTGACATTTTCTATGTTTGAAAATGGATTCATTTGGAAATTCTCGTGTGCATGTGGGCATACAATATTTTAATAGTCAGACTTTTTTATGTCTTCTTTCTGAATGCTTCTCCTAATTAAATTCAAATAATTTTTTAAAATATCATTTTAATATATTCTTGGTCTTCTTTTTTCAGGAACAGTATGAATTCTGCTACAAAGTGGTACAAGATTTTATTGATATATTTTCGGATTATGCTAACTTCAAATGAAAATTCCTGCCTTAAAATATTTTTTAATTTAATGGTCAGTATATTTTGTAAAAACCATGTTAATTTATTTCATAGTTGACATTAATATCCTTTCTAATTTCTTTGTATATATCTTGTGCTTTAAAGGCCTCCTGCCATAAAGTTATTACGTCTTGAATACCCCCTTTTAAAAAACTGGAATAATGTATTAAGGTCAAATAATTTCCCATAAAATATATATTTCTGCTAATATCAGTCAATATTTTAATTTCTCATTAGATCCATATCATTCAATTTCTCCCACTCGGCACCTTTAAATGTTATAAATCTTAATATGCCAGGTGTGCTTATGCAAAATACTAAACACAACATTTGTGAGGAAACAGTTGGGACTCAGAAATCAGCTGAAAATTCGCTTTCTTCACACCGATTTTATAGCCCTGAGCAAGCAGCATTTTTTGGAAAGCAAACTGTTCCTGGAGAAACGCAATAAAGAGGGCATTTTGTAAAGTCCTCAGTCTCAACCCACGCGGTTTACCTGGACATTTTAAAGATCCAAGAAGACTATATAGTGAGACTGAAATGTATCCAGGGCTGTGTCCCTGCTCCGTGGCTAGAGCGCAGAAGATGCAGGTGGTCCTGTTCGCCCGTGGCCTTGGATGGAGCCAAAGCAGCCCTGGGAGCTGCGCTCCTACAGCGCCACCTGCTGTCCGTCCGTGTGTGTGATTCACATGGATGCGCTTCTCTCTCCTCTCCCATTGGCCCCGGCCGCCGTGTGGGCGGGAGGAACCTCGGGGGCGGGGCTTCAAGGCACCCAGGTCCCAAAGGTTCAGGTGAGGCCCCAAGCCGGACACCCACCGAGCCGGGAGCACACGCTGGGGGTAGGAGGAGCAGGACGACCGCAGGTAATGACGCTTTAAACTTTCCGAGAAGCATTTTGGTACTTAAAAAATCTCTTATAAAAGCTGTTTGTAAGAAATCTTAAAATCTAGATTTATACCGTTTTTTAAAAGTCCCACTCCTCAATATTTAATTAGAGAAAAGAAAGGCTAACTTATTTTTGGATGGAAATACTACTGAGACCTTGGACACTGGATTATAATGATCCCACTGGCGTATGGGGTTAAGAAAGGGGGGAGGGAGGGAGGTAGAAAAGTTTAATTTAGTAGCAGTGATCTTTCTGTGGCCGTTGGGTGCCTAGCAGGTGAGCACAACATAAAAAACACCTGGTCTGACTTACCGAAAGCATTTCACATGTGCATTTTTGGTACATCATTTGCCCTTTGAAAGACCTATCAATGCCTCATCTGACATTTCCACTGAAAACTGATTGCACTGTTTCTTCTGTATTCATTGCCTGAGCACCATGCACCCGGGGCTGGGCTTGGTTCTAAGCACAGGCTCACAGGTAGTCAGGCCTCTGCCTCTCCCGTGAGCTCCACCCAAGGGCCAGAGCAGGCGCCGGGCTGGAAGGACAGAAGCACAACTTTGAGGGGCCGCCAGCCCGCCAGCCAGCCACAGCCCTGGGCTGCGCGTTCGCAGCTCAATGTGATCCTTTCTCCTTGTCGGTACACTGGGTACAGTGAGTCCACACTTGGGTCCAAGAGGAAACTGCAGGGAGCCTTGCCAGACATGCCAGTTGCCCCGTTTGTTTTCATTGTTAAAATCCCCAGCCCAGAGCCTTTCTTTCCTTCAACACCAACCCTAGAAACAGAGCTGGCTGGTTGTGATGGAGGCGACTAGTCACTTACTTGAGGGGTCAAAGTTGAAGAGCAGGGATTTGGGTCCACATTTAGGAGCCTTCACCAGAATCCTGCACGTCCTTTAAAGGTCTCCCCGGCATCTCCTGTGTGGAGACGCAGACCTTCTCAGGGTGCCCTGGGAAAGTGCCCCATTGGTGTGTTCTCTCGCGTCCCCTTGGGCCGTCCCCAGTGTCCACTGCAGGTGTCCCGGTGCCCTGTTTGGGCCCTTCCAGTTCCAGAAATTAAGCAGAAGCCGCTGTCCCTTGGACACAGGCTCCCTCCCAGGTGGGGGCAGCCAGGGCTTGCCTTTCCCTGAGGCCCTATAACTGCGGCCTCCTGGCCTCTCTGCCGAGGCCCCCAGTCCAAGGGGTGAGCCCTCGGGGACTCACCGCCTGTGTGCAACCTGGACGTGCGCTCTTCTGCCCCTTCGGTGGAGGAAAGTCCCCTGTACATACAGCAGCGCCACGCTGACCTCGGTCCCCCCAGCGGTGTCTGTGTTGCATGCAGTTGAATTCAAAGGCCAAATAGTGATCGGAAGACCCGCTCCGATCTGTGCGCTTTATCGGTCACCGTGTGACTCACCTTACTCTCCATGTGCTATGAGGAATGCAGACCAGTGTTTTAAACGGTATTTTTATGTGTTTTTTAAAACTTTAAAAATGAGCCTGACATCCGTCTCAGCATTTGGAGACGTGCCGCGTTATTTTTTTAAATGTCTGATTACTGATACCCTTGTTTAACTACGTCATGTTTAATTTATGTGCAATCTTTACATGTATGTACTCATTCCAACTATCATGCTTTCTTTTATTACATTTATCACTCGATCTTGCTCTGATTATGATGCCACTGAACGTTGCTGAATTCTTTGTATTTGCACATCGCAAGGTCTGAAGCATTCCCACGCGATAAATCTTTACTTTGACGTGCAGCCTGCGTCTCGTTCTTCCAGGAAGTTTCTTTATTTCATTCCTGTGCCTTAAGGCCTTTCAGGCGGGACGTTCATTAGGAGGTAAACATTGATTTATACAGACAATTAATTGTAGGACTTCTATAATTTAGCTCCGAGCTGGCGTAGGAACAGCCCCGCCGGCGTGGGTTGGCGGGCACGGTGGCCGGGGCGCTGGCCGTGGCGCGCAGCTGGTCCCCAGGCCTGAGTGTGCGGGCGGGAGGCACAGGTCAGACTCGCGGTTCAGGGAGCCCGAGCTTTTGCTCGAGTCTAGGCAGGAATCTGAGCTGTGAGCAGCAGTGTGTCGGTTGCCACATTTGAGGACAGCCAGGCGGAACCAGCGAGTCCTTGGGTGTCGCTTTTCCTCCTGAAATCTAAACCCCACCGGGCCACCCTTGGCACATCCTCATGGCTCCGCTAAGGCCAGCTCTGTCCACCCCGGCCACCTTCGCCTCCCTCCCTTCCCCACCAGCTTCCTTTCAGATATCCCAGACCTACTGTGGGATTGGAATATGCACTTTTATTATTTCCTGTATTTAATAAATTTGACGAGCCTTGTTGTTTGTTAAAATGATTTGCAAACCTCTCCAAAATGGAAAAAAAAAAAATTGCCTGCAACGAAATGCCTTTCCCTTTCCCTCCTGAGCCCTTGAGTTACTGGGCTTTCCTCATGGGTCTGTCTGCATGTCCCTTGGGTAAGTGGCCCTCACCTCTGCTCGAGGTGTGCGGGGGCCCTGGGGAAGTGGAGGTGCAGACACAGGCCGAGATGTGGATGGGGAGGAACCTTAAGGGCATAAAGGGTCATAAGTCAATCAGGGACCAACTGACTCCACCAACCTGAGCGAACCATGGCCTCTGGACAGTGTTGTGTACTTGTAGGTGTATATGTGCATATATGTGTATGTGTACATGTGTGTTGGGGGTCCGTCTTGCCCAAGGAAGAGGGGGCTGTACTTAGGGCAAAACTATTAGGTCATACAGAAACTTGAAGGCAAAAGGTAGAAATAGTTCTGTTTCCTGAGAACATCCCAGCGGAGGGACGTGGCTCACTTGGAATCGATGCTGAGACGGCACCGGACCGCACAGCGAGGTGCTCATTTCCCCGCAGCCTGTTGCCGCAGTTGGCCTGGTTAGATGGTTAGTATTTGTCTAATGATTCCCCGCAAGACTGAAGTGAAGGATGCGTGCCGTGGGGGTTTTCAACGTGTGCGTAGCCCTGAATGAGTTGGTCTCATCCAGACCTACAACCCTGATGACGCTCTGGAAATACTGTGCTTACGAGGGTGGAAAGGGTGCTTATATTTCAGTGAGAGTTTTGGTTGGAATTGAACCCTAAAGGGTTTAATTAATCTGTATATTCCATTTCCCAGGCACACAGCTTATTGAAATTTTTCTATATGTGAGCTTCATAATTACTGAATCTGAACAACTTAATCATAGAGAAACCTATTATATTTTTCATTTTCTTGAACTTGGCCCCAGTTCACATTTATGACACACCTTCCAATCAGGTACCTTCTGATGAGGCCGCACTTCCTAATACTCTTTCTGCTCCCCAGCCCATCTCGCCTGTCACGGCCCTGACCCCACCCTCCAGCCTTCCCCCAACCTGTCCCTCCCTCAGGACCTTACACAACCTGGCCCAGCCCTGCACCGTGGCAGTCACAGCACCCAAAGCACCGACTGATGGAGACAGACACCTGAATTCATTAACAAAGGTTTATTTTTATGTGGACCTGGCTCCATGCCAGACACGGGACAAGAGGGGACAGACAGGGGCTCAGCAGTTACACTCACATTTGGGGACAGCCACCTTCTTGTCTCCCATCTGCACCTCAGCCTGGCAAGGCAGGTGAACTGGAGGATTCCAGACAGGTAACTGGACGGAAGGTGTGCTATTTCCCGACTTAGGGGACAGAGGGGCAGGAGGACATGGGAACATAAAAACAGATGCCAGCAGTCAGATGTGCGTCTAGGCCTGAAACGGAAGGAAGTCTGGACATAAAATGAGACGGGGAGGTATGGGCTCGCAGGGAGAGTGGGCCTCTGGGGGAAGGACCCTCGCTCCCGCCACTGTCAGAAGCGGCCTCGCGTTAGGACGGCTCGTTCGTGTGGCTTCCTGTGCGAGGGGGTGCTGGGCACCAAGCAGGCCGACAGGTGCAGCCAGAAAAAGCACAGGTGGGACCAGGGCCAGTAATGTAAATGACAGTGTAAATGACACAAAGCACAGAAGCGAAGAGGGTGTCAGAACTTGGCACCGAGTGGCACCCCGGCCAATGGGTGGGGTGGGGCCCTTCTCAGATGAGAGCAATAAAAAGGCCCACTACCAGCCAGCCCCCAAATGTATGACTCCTGTGCCCTGAAGATGGGGTCACAAGCCATCCTTCAGGTCACTTTCATTCCCTGAGTGGTTGGACCCAAGACAGGACTGTCCTGGGCAAGGAACCAGCAGCTGGCACAGGGACCGCAGGCCTGCCTCTGCCACCGCGCAGACGTGTCTTGTGAGCACCGCGGATCTTCATCTCTCCGTTCCTGACGCTTCCTGCGGGCCTGCCCAGGTGGGGACAGGAGACAAGCCCCTGCCTTCGGGGTTCTGACGGGGGACACAGACAAACACGAAAGCATTTACAATGCAAGTGCTAGAGCCCTAGGAGTGGGGTTGGCCTGAGGGATCGATTTCAGGGCCGCATTTGGCAAAGTTGAAGGGCACAGCTCGGCTCAAACTCCCACCCCCCACCCGTCTTAAACTTGTATCGTTTCAGGCGTCCCCCTCACAGCCTCCGCGAGGGGGTTCTGAGTAGACCATCAAAGTAAAAAAATTTTAAAAGCTTTCTTCCCTTAAGCACCCAGATAGCACTATTTACAGAATTCACGTTTAAATTTACAGCAGACGTTGTACTAGAAGTTATCACTAAACTACGTTTCCTACTATTTCTCCTTGAATGTCTTGGCTAAACATTGCCACTGCCCCGGCGGCTTCTGGTCCTCATTTTCTTGATGCCCACGGAGCTGTTCTCCTGTTTGGGACGAAAAAGACAACTTGAATCAATTAAAACAGCGATTTCTGTAACCAACTCTGCTCTGCAGACACCCAAACCCTCCTGGGCATGATCCTTTCTGGAGAGGTGATTTTGAGGTTGGAGACAAGTTTTAAAATTCGTTGGGGGCAAAAAGTAGGTTTACAGTTGCAAGTACACAAAACACAGACTTTATTCTTGTATTATTACTAATTATTATATTATTTTCCATATGAACTGTACACCTACTTTAGCCCCACCCCATACATCCTGCGAAAGTTACTTTTGTTCTTAAACTGTTTTCACTATTTGATTTTTTAAACTTAAATATATTGTCTTTTGATAGAAGTTTGTAACCTATTTTTAAGTTGATACGTAATAAAAAATTTCCACACATAGAGCATTACTAATGAAAAGATCCCACTCAGAAAAGCAAATTCAACTGTCCAATCAGGACGCAATCCCGAGTCTCCGGAGCAATCCCCGTGCATGGCGAGGGCAGTCGTTCAGCTCAGCTCTGCACTGAGAGGGGGACCAGGCCACCTACTGTGTAGACGCTCAGAGGAGCCTCATCCTAAACTCTAACCAGCAACCGCAGATGACCTGCCTCTTCAGAAGCGGTGCCCAAAGCCCCAGCGTCTGCACTGCTTACAGGTCAGCGCCGGGCGTCTGGGCTCCCGCTCCACAGTCCCCAACCTAACAGCCACTCAGAAGCAGCTATTGGCTGGGGCAAGCAGGCCCACCAAGGACTTTATTAAGTGATCTTTAAGGGGGGGTCAGAAAAACAAAAGGCAAGAATTAAAAATCTAAGGTGAAGTTTGAATGCAAATGACCTGAAATACTTGTATATGGACCGAAGGTTCACCACAGGAGTGGAGAGGTGGAGGGAGCCGCACCCTCTCCCGGAAGGTAAAGTGGGAAACCCTGTTACAGACGGCAGATGGTGAGCGTGCAGGTGGATACGTCACTCCGTCTTTGCTGACCAGTCAGCTGCTGTGCCCGGCCCCTCGTGACTCTAAGGGGTCAGGGACATTTGATGCCATCCTGGATGTGGGGGGACCCATGTCCAGGCCTTTGCAGCTGGCACTGTACCAGGCAACCAATGCTCAAGGAGTAAGTCCATCATGGACGGATGTCAGAGCAGCCTCCAGCTGCATCCTGGGAGCAGGTTTATCCACGCACAGCAAGGGGACCTTTCACCTTTCTCTTTTAAACGAGCAAAGCCAAGCACTCCCCAGAGGAACGCCGGCTGGATGCAGTCACGCTCTGTGGGTTTACTCCAGCGGCAGGCAGCTCACGGGCTGCTGAATCGCACAGCGGCAGCATTGCTGTCCTTTAACTTGGATGGCACCTGACTCGGGAGCCTGACAGGGCACAGCACTTCCTACTGACGGGGGACTCTAAGAGTAGAGGTGCCTTAGGGACACCTCAACTTGGATTCCTTCTAGCTTCCCAAAGGAACCCCTTGGGGACCCACAGGACCGCCTTTGGGCCCTAGGAGCTCTGTTGAACTAAGAATGAAGACCTCATCCGCCTGTAATGCGGGTCCGGGTGTGTCGTGAGCATCAGAAAGCACTAGCTGGATGGAGTCCCTGTGTTCCTGACTGGCCTTCACGATGTGAATTCACGGTCGAGGTGGGAATTCCCAAGACGGGGGGCACTAAGCGCAGCTACAGAGACAAAATACACGCTTCCGACTCGAGCTTCTAGGCCCCGTCACCGGGAGCCTGTACCACATGCAGCACGTTCGCTTTTGCAGCAGGGAGCAAACGTCACGCGGACACGGTGCGTGCTCCCTGCAGAGCGAAACCGTCAGCCACTTGCCTGTGTTGCGCTTTCGGCGGGTCTCTTGGCGCTCCGCGTCACTCGCTGTTGGGACTGGCTCTCCGAAGTGTCCCCGGCAGGAGGGGCGGTCACCTTCCTTGATCTCAGGCGTGTGAAGCCTGCACCCTGGGCCCCTCCTTCCTCTTCCCGAGTCTTCGCCTGGATTTCCACGCTTCTGCCCCCTGCCTTCTGCTCGGCTCCGCTGGGCACGGGCGCCTTGCCCCGCCTTGCGGATCTCAGGCCCACGCTCTTCTCGGGGGCCGCGTCCCCAGGTGCGGAGTTCAAGGCTCCATCTCCCGGGTTTTGGATCTTGGCCTCGTGGGCCGTATCTGCGGGCTTCTTTCCACTCCTCTTTATTTTAACCTCTGCTGCTATGAGAATCTCAGGTCTTTGCTCGGCTTCGCTGGTTTTATTTGGGCGTCTGGAGCGCAGGAACTTTCCCTAAAAAATTGAAAAGACATCCACAAAATGCGAGGGATGAGTGATACAAACCTGAAAATCCAACCTGGGGAAAAACATCAAAACATCAAAAGCGGATTCAGGGGAACTCGTCTGAACATCTTACATGGGTTAATTTTCTAAGACGCCAGTAATCTAAGATATTTATTTTGTTCCTATGGAGAACTCACCACCTCTACTGATAAACCGTAAATAAGGAATTTGGTATAAATCTGTCACGGTGTCATGCATGTTAGGTCTGGGTACAGGAAGCGTTGGAGGGCGCGACGGGAAAATGCCCTTAATTCAGGCAGTCAGCGAACTCCTACTCTAACGATCGCTAGGAAAACAGGAAAACCTGTTTCTGGAAGTTCGCAGTCCTCTCTCCACACAGGAGCAACCGCTCTTATTGAAAACCTCGACGGTCGTGTTGTGCGCAGGACGCCCCCCCGGGCAGTGTTCTAACTGCTTCGGTGCCACACTGCCGGCTGCGGGGTCTGGGACAAGGCTGAGCTGCCCCTTTCTCTGCCTCTTTGAGGATGAACACAACTCGTTCAGTTCCTGAGCAAACCTTGTCAAGATCTGTAGTGATAACCCTGGCCAGTATTCTCCGCAAATTAGCCTAGTCTCTCTGAGCCCCTCAAGGATTCTTCACGGGGGTCTGCGGTTGCTCAGCACTGACACAGACCCCTTCGGGAAGGGACACCCATGTATAAATTCAGGTTCCTCACAACCTATGCCAGTTTTTCAGAAATGGAGACACCGCCCCCCACCCTCCACCCCGAGCCATGCCAGTAACTCTGCAGCAGCCACCATCACCTTGTCTGGGGAGGTCACGACTTGGGCTCTTCGGCCCCTGTTCTTGGTTTCCACGTCCTTGCTGGGCGCGCCTTCCACAGGCCCGGTGCTTTCCGCCAACTCTCGCCGACTCTTCAGGGCCAAGGGCTCAGGCGGTTCGCGCCTCTCTCGGGGAGCTGTCCTCGGCCTCTTCGGCGGTGGCTTCTCCTCCGCAGCGTCCTGTGCCCGCGACCTCGTGCGCAGCCGCCTCGCTCCCGTGGCACTTCCATCTTCAGGTTTCCTCTCAGGGGACTGGGACGCGCCGCTCTCACTTTGTGGCTCGACAGGGTCTCTGCTGCCCCCCAGGTCTTCCACGGGCCTTACCTTCGGGGCCCTAAGGACTCTTCTGGGTCTTGCAGGTTTGCCCCGGTCTGGCGTTTGCCTTGGAGTCGGCGCCCTCGTGTCGCTCTCAGCACCTGTGCCCAGTTCCTTGCCCTGAGCTGGGCTCTGGGAGAGCTGTTTGCAGCTGGCGGGGCCTTCGGGGGGCTGGGCCTTCTCCTTCCGGGACCTCAGCCGACGTTTGCTGCCCGCGTCGTTTCCTGTGGGACCCGGTTTCTGCCTTGGAGGTTCCTTGAACGCTTCGATGTCTTTATCACCGGCGACGGGCTCTCTGTGGGACCGTGTGGTTTTCCTTGACGTCCTGGGCGCTGAGGGCGCGTCCTCCACGGGCACCTTCCCTGCAGGCGCCCTGAGCCGTCTCCCCTGGGGCGCCGGCAGGACCGCGGCTTCTGGCTGTGGACACGTGGGGGGCAGTGTACCGGTTTTGACAACAGTCTCTGGTTCCTCTGTGTGACCTGATACTTGGGAGGACTCTCTGAGGCTGGCCGGGTCTTCTAGGGGTTGGGCCTTTTCCTTACGTGTTCTTGGCCTCCTCTTGCTTCCAGTTACATTCTCTGCAGGGTCCAATTTCTCTTCTGGAGCTTCCTTCAACAATTTGATGTCTTGATAAGCCACCTCTGGTTCTCTGTGGGACCGCGTGGTGGTTTTCCCGGAGGCCCGTGTGGGCTTCCTGGGCGCTGAGAGCGCGTCCTCCGCGGGCACCTTCCCTGCAGGCGCCCTGAGCCGTCCCCTCCGGCGCGCGGGCAGGACCACGGCTTCTGGCTGTGGACACGTGGGGGGCAGTGTACTGGTTTCGGCAGCAGTCTCTGGTTCCTCTGTGTGACTCGGTATCTGAAAGGACTCTCTGAGGCTGGCCGGGTCTTCTAGGGGCTGGGCCCTTTCCTTACGTGTTCTTGGCCTCCTCTTGCTTCCAGTTACGTTCTCTGCAGGGTCCAATTTCTCTTCTGGAGCTTCCTTCAACAATTTCACATCCTTAGCAGCAGCCTCTGTTCCTCTGCGGGACCGTGTGGTTTTCCCCGATGTGCACGTGGGTCTCCTGGGCGCTAAGAGCTCATCTTCTGTGGCCACTTTGCCTGGAGGTGCCTTGACACGTCTGTTTCTACCTGTTGGCATGATGACTGGTTCTGGTTTTTGAGATGTGCAGGGTTCCTTGGTGGTTCTGTCATCGTCAGTCACTGTTTCCCCAGTGTGATCTGGTGTTTGGAAGAGCTCTTTGAAGCCGGCCAGGTCTTCTGTGGGCTGGACCTTCCTCTTGGGTGTTCCTGACCTCCTCCTGCTTCCAATCACATTTTCTGCTGAGTTCAGTTTCTGTTCTGGAGTTTCCTTAAAGAATTCAATGCTTTTGCCATCACCTACTGGTTCTCTGGGTGAACACGTTTTCTCTGGTGTTGGTGTGGGCATCCTGAGTACTGAGAGTTCTTCCTCCATGTCCACCTTCCCCAGAGATGTCCTGAGATGGTTCTTTATACTTGTTGGTGTGCTGACTGGTTTTGGAGATTTGCAAGGTACTTTGGTGGTTTTGTCATCAGTCGCTGTTTCTATGATGTGAATTGGTGTCTGGAAGAGCTCTTTGAAGCCGGCCAGGTCTTCTGTGGGCTGGACCTTCCTCTTGGGTGTTCCTGACCTCCTCCTGCTTCCAATCACATTTTCTGCTGAGTCCAGCTTCTGTTCTGGAGTTTCCTTAAATGCTTTGATACCTTGATCACCTTCTGGTTGTCTATGCGAGTGTGTGGTTTTCCCAGGTACTGGTGTTGGCTTCCCGAGCGCTGAGAGCTCTCCTTCCATGTCTACTTTCCCCAGAGGTGTCCTGAGTCGTCTGGTCATGCTGGTGGGAGTGATGCCTGGTTCTGGTTGTGGAGACTGGCACAATACTTCACTGGTTTTGTCATCAGCCATTGGTGCTACTGTGTGATCTGGTGTTTGGAAGAGCTCTTTGAAGCCAGCCATGTCTTCTATGGGCTGGACCTTCCTCTTGGGTGTTCCTGACCTCCTCCTGCTTCCAATCACATTTTCTGCTGAGTTCAGTTTCTGTTCTGGAAGTTCTTTAAAGGATTCGATGCTTTTACCATCACCTACTGGTTCTCTAAGTGAACACATTGTTTTCTCTGGTGTTGGTGCTGGCTTCCTGAGTGCTGGGAGCTCCTCCTCCAAGTCTACTTTCCCGAGAGGTGTCTTGAAACATCTCTTTGTGCTGGTTGGTGTGCTCACTGGTTCTGGTTTTGGAGATTTGCAGGGTACTTTGGTGGCTCTGTCATCAGTCACTGTTTCTATGACGTGAATTGGTGTTTGGAAGAGCTCTTTGAAGCCGGCCAGGTCTTCTATGGGCTGGACCTTCCTCTTAGGAGTTCCTGACCTCCTCCTGCTTCCAGTTACATTTTCTGTTGAGTCCAGTTTCTGCTTTGGAGTTTCCTTAAAGAATTCAGTGCTTTTATCATCACCTTCTGGTTCTCTATGTGAGTGTGTGGTGTTCCCTGGTCTTGGTGTTGGCTTCCTGAGTGCTGACAGCTCTTCCACCATGTCCACTTTTCCCAGAGGTGTCCCAAAACGTCTCTTTGTGCTCACNGGAGATTTGCAAGGTACTTTGGTGGTTTTGTCATCAGTCGCTGTTTCTATGATGTGAATTGGTGTCTGGAAGAGCTCTTTGAAGCCGGCCAGGTCTTCTGTGGGCTGGACCTTCCTCTTGGGTGTTCCTGACCTCCTCCTGCTTCCAATCACATTTTCTGCTGAGTCCAGCTTCTGTTCTGGAGTTTCCTTAAATGCTTTGATACCTTGATCACCTTCTGGTTGTCTATGCGAGTGTGTGGTTTTCCCAGGTACTGGTGTTGGCTTCCCGAGCGCTGAGAGCTCTCCTTCCATGTCTACTTTCCCCAGAGGTGTCCTGAGTCGTCTGGTCATGCTGGTGGGAGTGATGCCTGGTTCTGGTTGTGGAGACTGGCACAATACTTCACTGGTTTTGTCATCAGCCATTGGTGCTACTGTGTGATCTGGTGTTTGGAAGAGCTCTTTGAAGCCAGCCAGGTCTTCTATGGGCTGGGCCTTCCTCTTGGGTGTTCCTGACCTCCTCCTGCGTCCAGTCACACTTTCTGCTGAGTCCAGCTTCTGCTTTGGAGTTTCCTTAAATGCTCTGATGCTTTTATCATCAGCTTCTGGTTCTCTATGTGAGTGTGTGGTTCCCCCTGGTGTTGGTGTTGGCTTCCTGAGTGCTGACAGCTCTTCCTCCATGTCCACTTTCCCCAGGGGTGTCCTGAAACGTCTCCTTGTGCTGGTTGGTGTGCTGACTGGTTCTGGTTTTGGAGATTTGCAGGGTACTTTGGTGGTTTTGTCATCAGTCACTGTTTCCACGATGTGATTTGGTGTTTGGAAGAGCTCTTTGAAGCCGGCCATGTCTTCTATGGGCTGGACCTTCCTCTTGGGTGTTCCTGACCTCCTCCTGCTTCCAATCACATTTTCTGCTGAGTCCAGTTTCTGTTCTGGAGCTTCCTTAAATGCTTCCATGCTTCTGTCACCACCTTCTGGTTCTTTGTGTGTGGGGGTCCTGTCCTGTGGGGTTTGTCTGGGCTTCCTGAGTGCTGAAAGACCCTCTGCACTCACACTCTGGGAAGGCGTCTGGATCCGTGTATTCATCCTGGTTGGCGTGCTGACTGGTCCTGGAGATTTACAGAGCATCAATGTGGTTTTGTTTTCCGTATCCACTGGTTCTTCAGTGTCACTGGGGTTTCGGAGGGAACTGTGGATGCCCACCAGGTCTTTCTTGGATTCTGTCTCTTGCAATCTCTTGATGGCGATCAGGTCTGCTCTTGGTGCACATTTCAGTTCTGAAGATCTTCTTGATCTCCTCACAGCTGTCAGCTTTTCAGAATTTTCTTTTGGTTCAATATTTTTCTTACATGTTTCAAAGACTCTTTCATTGTCCTTCATTGCTCCCTCTGGTAGTTGTGCTGGTACTGATGAATTCCTCAGACATCTTCCCAAGGTATTCTGAATAGTGCCAACTTCTCTGTCATTCTTGTCACACTCTGTACCTGTCACCTGTATATTTCTGAGCTCCACGGACCTCCTGAATTTGTGTGCACTGGGTGCCACCTTCGGAGGCTCTGCCTCAGATCGTGGAGTTTTCATACTTTCATGTACTGTAATATACTGTTGTGTTAAGGTCGGGCTTGAAGACTTTTTATGCGATGGCTCTTCTGGTGCATTCTGAGCCCCAGATAACACATTCTCTCCTATAAGAGGGGGGAGGGGGAAAGCACAATAAATATATTCTCTTTGCTGTGTGGTACCAAATTGGTATTTTATCCTCATGAAATATTGTGTAAGAGACAGTAACTCGCCTTCCTCTCCACCTTACTAACAATATTAGTTTGTTTATGTGGCTATAAATCTGTCTGACGTATGAACCCTGCACGCTTACGAATAACGTTATTTGGTATTATAGAGTGGGTCATACATAGGTGGTGGTTAGAATCCACAGGGATTAGGTAAAGGAAAAAATTCCTAAAGCAGCGTCTCCTAAAGGCGCTACACATGTCTCAGTGACCTGAACAAAGGCATTTTTTCCCTTCAGACATGAGAAACAGCTGTTTCTTCTTATGAACCACCAGTGCAGTACCACGGTTTATACACCCACTTAGTGTCCACGATACCCTGGAAGCATCTACTTTTTACCAATAGGAAGCATGTTCAATGTAGCAAGTTGTTCACTCTACAACACAAACCAGGCACCAGATGAAAGCAAGACAGACTTACGTCTCCCCTCCCACACTCACACTGTGGCAATCTGCAATCATTTTCAGTTTGAGTAATTTACATATAAGTATGATGAGAGAGCATTACACTTTTCTGATTATAGCCCTTTTTATTTATAATAAATAAGCAAAAGTGCACACAGTAGTTTGATTATTAAAGGAATATTCCTTTTTACTCAGGTCACTGAATGCCAGTGCTAGCTCAAACGCTGACAGGAATTTCCCCTAAAAACAACAGAGCAGAGAAGCTGGAAGCAATATTTTACCAAGAGTATCTGTTGTAGAGAAATAATACAAAATCTGTGACAAACAACAACAATACCATCTACAGTTCTACTGAAGACATCAAAAAGTGCCAGAAAAAAAAGTAAACCAACCAAAATTTTCTGGGGTGCGTAGCAGAGGCTTTCCTTCTGAATTAGGTACTTGAAACTCTTCCCCAAGCATATCTTCTGAATTTGAAAAAGTGGTAGAATATATGTTCATTGTTTGTGGCTTCTCTTTCCCTGGGGTCTTGAACATTTCAGTGAGCCCTGTTATAAGAAAATAGCAGAAAAGCAATTGATAAATTGCTCTTATATGCAAACAACCACGTCAGTCCCCATGAACAACCAAGGAATCACTCCCTAGGATTCCTGAGAGAGAAAGTCTCAGGGGAGAGAGAGATGCATTAATAATAAACTCATTTTGTTAAAAGAGGGCAGTGGGACATTAGAATCGTATGGGTCCACAGTCTTCCTCGCCTTTCCCCGTGGAAAGAAAAACAAAGGAAGCTGTCTCAGTGTCCTGCAGCTGTGCCCCGTCGTGAGCACTGGCCAGGGGACAGAGGCCGCCCTCGCTGCCTGCCCTGCAAGCGTTTGCAGACCCAGTGACCTCGTTCTGCCTTCAGAAAGTCTGAGGTTATGCAGCTCTGGATGTTATGTACAAATGAAACTTCCCCAAATTTTAAAAATGACATAGGGCTGCCCATTTTTAGTACTGTTAGGTAATAGCATCACCATCTTTTCAGAGGACAGCTCTTCTATGTTAAAATCTGCCCCGAAATAAATACAAGAGTCCACCTAACAGACTCAAATCTCACCTCCCTCCACAAGAGTCCAAAGTGGGACCCACTGGACCTCGATGGCATGAAACTCTAACCCTGGGTCTGGCCATGGTTCGAATCTGCTAAAACCTTAAGTATTCTTCTAATGAGAATGGCAGTTATTAATGCATAAAGGAAACCACTTCACGGGTCTTTGATTCATGAAACAGTCAAGCTACATGGAAAAAATGGAAATCTTGAAGCAAAATATCACTCAAGCCAATTGTTCCAACTCTGGGGAAACTGACTGGCATAAGTGCAGGAAAAGGGCAATTATGAGCAAGTCACTTCCTTCCCACGGAGCAGCTTCGTTTTCCACCCGAGCTGCTCTCCAAGGCAAAGGTGTGCGTCAACCTTCCACACCGGCCATGCAGGACACATGATCCCCAAAGTGCCAGGGGCCCGTCCCTGCTCCTCGATGCAGCTTTCTCTTCCTGGACCAGCATGAGCCCAGGAGGTTGACTGGGCTGCTTGGTCTCCTGTCCCCCTCACAGCAGATAAGCGCCCATCCACATCCTCACGGAGCTAAGGGCTGTGGTTTAGAAGAGCCAAGCCTATGATTTTACCTGAAAGGTCTTCATTGAAGTCGATTTTTTTGTTGAACACAAAGTTGTTCAGCATCCTGTAGGGCCGAGCAGGCACGTTTACCTTTTCGATGTGAGCTTTCCCTATTACGATGGTGCAGGGAGAGGCTGCGTGGCCTGTACTGAACTCACTGTGAACACTGCCCGGAGGCTTCTGGGAAAACAGCAGGAGAGCACAAAACGTCAAAGCACAGATGCACACATAAGGTAACTTCACAAAACATTAAGTATAACAGAGCCATTCGCGGCGGAACACATACCTTTGGGGTGTTAATTCTCCGCTGCCTCTTGCTCGGCTGTCTTGGGGGAACGTGTCTCACGACTTTAGTCTGTGTTTGTTTGGCACAGAGTTTTACTACGTCTGCCCACGATCTTGCCACTGTCAAAAGGAAAAGATGTTGAAACTTCCCAACACTGGCGTGAGTGAGGAAATTCACCTTAAAACACTCGTTAATACAACACGAACCGATTAAGTTGGCCTCCGAGGCTCCGCTCCTCCGCCTGGAGTGGATCATCTGCAGGAGCTCGTGCTGGCCTCGGTCCACGGAGGCCCTCCTGGAGGCAGCGCCGCTGCTCCTCCTCCCGGCCCTCTTAGGAACGTCTGCCTGATGTGGAGATTTGCTGCCACTCGGGGCCGGTGGCTTAGATGACCGTCTGCGACCCTCATTTGCAACTGGAGGCGTTTTCGTAGGATTGCGAGCGGGTGAGCTCATAAGCACGTTCTGTGTGGTCACTTCCAGATGGACCTCTGAAGAATCTTCCTTTTCTGACTGTTGAGGCTGTTCCTGAGGAGATTGGAATGTTCCTAAGTTAGCGTCCTACAAACATGACGCCTCTGTAATGACTATTACGGCCCCACCAGTTGAGAATTATGGCCTGTTTCAAAGCACAGGAAACACCCAACAAACCAGAAACAAAAACTCATGTCTAGTGCATCCAGTGGTCGCAGGAAAGACTGTACTGCTCCCAAGCTCGCAGACAATTTTAATTAAACTGGATTTGCACACACACACAAATTTTAGCTGTTTAAATCTTGAGGCATCAAAACATTTCAACCACTGTCAAGTCCACGGCAGAGGTGAAAGTCTGTCCCCATCATTTAAAGAAAAAGAGAAAAAAAGCAGCAAACAAGCCGACACGGGGGCATTTCAGGGGGAAAGGTGGAGGGAACCTCCTTAGCAGAGGCGCCAGGCAGGAGGGGGGACACTAGCTGGTGAACGTACCTTGATGATTTTCTTTAGCACAGTTGGCGTGTGGGTTACAAGAGACCTTCTCTTCATGGGTGTTTCTCCTCTTTTGAGAGGGGTATTAGGAGGTAAGTTTTCATCGAACAATTCAGGTCTCAGATGGCCCCCAAAGGAGACCCGCCTTCTTTTCAAGGGCAGCCCTTCAGTCTTGTCTAAAGGAGCACAAACAGGAGAGGGGAATGAAAACCCATCCCGGCAGCTATTGCTTGTTTCAAATTGCTCTTAAAGACAAACCAATGGAAAGAGCCAGTGACCACAGAGGCCCTACCTCTGCCACTCACTGGGGGACATTAGGTTGTCAGTTTCCCCGTTTGCAATATGATTTAGGATCATACTCATAGGACAGATACTTGTAGCTCAGAATTAAGCCTCCTGTGCAGAGCGATAATGCTTAGTCTCCTACGTTGTAGCTGGAATAGAGCCAAGCGTTGGGAGCAGCCTTCGAGCCGCTGCTGTGTCGGTCCCTCTCTGACAACCTCACCTCCCAGCACTGCCTGTCCGGTTACCCAGGTCTTCAGGACGCTCTCGGCGTGGACAATGGACACGGCTGTCTTATCGGTGTGCCCTTAGTCCCCTAGCTTCTCCGCCACAGAATCATTTAAGAAAGGAGGCGTCGTTAACTCATACCTAGACATAGGTATGCGTGAACTTTTGGGGAAAAATGAATTTAAAGTTAAATAAACTTACTAAGGGAATCGCCAACGTTACTGACATCGACTGGACTGAGGCCCGGGGACCCCGCTGTGGTGCCCAGCTGCTCGGGGGTGCCCAGGGAACTGCCTGGAACCTTCCTCTCCACGTGGACCATCAGCGGGGACAGCATGGTCTGCTTCTGAATTTCTGTTTCTGTAGCAAGAATGTTGACATTTGGAGGAAGGCTGCTCCGCCTCTTTCTGGAAAAGGCTTTTTCGGGTGTGTTTCCAGGGCCATCAGTGACTCCACCTCTCGGGGGGGGTTGCTGTCTAGCTGAGACCCTCTGAGGAGTCTCCGCTGCCTTGTTCACCCCGCAGCCTTCACTTGGCTCCAGGCTCGCAGATTCACCGCCGCGGGCAACACTCAGGTCTCCGCTGCGCCGTTTTCGTGAGGAATTTTGTTGTGTACACTGGGCAGGGGTCGTGGCTTTGGTCTCCGTGGGGGGAACCATGAGACTCGCGGTGGCCCCGAGAGTCTGCCCAGGCCTCTCGCCTGCTCCCCCTTCCTCTGTCGGGCTGCTCCCTCGCTGTCCCGGGGCGGGGGTGGCCTTAGTTTGGGAGCTGCGATGGGATCTCCGCCTGGACCTGGGCGAGGCCCACGGTGGTGTCGCGCCCTGTGGACCCCTTTCGGATCCTGATGCACAGTGACCCTGTGACCCCGATCGTCTGCGGTTCTGTGGAACATTCTCTTTTTCTGACTTCACATCCAACACTTCCTTCATAGACTCGTAGAGCTTCCTAAAGGGAGACTCGTCTTCTCCACCCTTCTCGGGACACTGCGCGGAAGGAAGAGGCTCCCGCCCTCCACTCCCGCTCACGGCTGTCCCAGGGCAACCTTCTCGGGTCCCGCCAGCAGCTGGGCCCGCTGCACTCCTGCGGCTCTCCCCGGGGGGGCCCGCGGGAGGAAGCTCAGCGGCGCTCCTGGCAGCAGGGCCCCCGGGGCCGCGCGGGGCCGCAGCGCCATCCTCCCGACGGTCCGGGCGCGCTCCTGCGGCACCCTCTCCGGGGAGCTGCGCACGGGCCACGCTGGGATCCTGAGCTTGCCCATCTGCCAGCGGGTGAGGAAAGAAGAAACGCGTTCAAGATTCTCTCAGCGGTTAACATGGGCAGCGTTCAGATCTTACAGCGGTTTCAAACTGTCCTGCCACCTAGCTTCTCACTTAGCCTCGTTATGGAATGCCCAAAATGAGGAAAGTGACAGTATTCTGTTACTAATACGATGGTCCAAATGAGTCAGTCACATTAATTTCCTGTAACCGATCTGAGACACCAAATGCTATTAATCTATTAATTAAGCAGATAACTGAGCAGGACAATATATTTACACGTGGACTCTCCAAAACAGCCTGGGCCACACATCACTACAGGAGAGAGTCAACTCAGGGGTCTGCCTATGAGCCTGGACATAGGACACTTCTGATCTTGGTGTCACCTCCTTGTCATGATGCCACTCAGAGAACTGACCTTGCAGGATCTTTAAAAGACCAGAAAACTACTAACCAGGGTCAGAAGAGAAGCTGGACCTTGAGACCCGACGCAGAGATGCCTGTGAATTGGCAAAGAACGAACAGAGATTTAGTGCCTTTTCCAGAACCGACGGTCAAATTTATGAAAATATCCCACCCACCGATGATCTTCTTTGCCCAACTGTTCTTATATGACTTTTAGAGACTTTGAGAAATGAGCCTGAGACACACAGGCGCTACTGCTCAGAATACAAACATTTCTTAGCCATTTTAAAAATATAGCGATGGAGTAAGAACCAAACTTGAAGCTGAAAATTGTTTAAACTGAACCTCAGTGAGTTGCAACTTTCTCAGACATCTTTCTCTTCATCATCTGAAGGACATTAAAATTAAACATCACCTCCGCTCAGTACCTGTGAACCTACTAGAGGCACCGAATTCCTGACTTTATGCTCAGTTTCACCAGAAATCGGAACAGGACCCGTGGGTGAACTCGGGCTCACTCCGCACGTGGGCCCTTAGCTAGCAGACACCTGGGGTGTGTCTGAGCCCAGAGGTTAAGGCAGAAACTACAGTGCACCTGTGGCACTGCCCGCTCAGAGTCCAGGATCGGCTCCAGTGTGCCCACCTGGACCCAGGACAGCGCTGGCACACGGGGTGAAAATTGCTGATCTAACCCACAGGCCAGCTTTTCGGTTGGTTGGTTCCCTTCCACCTACTAGCAAGTTAGAATGATGGTTAGTGGGTGGGTTACCTCAAAACCTAGCTTCTCCTCTCCCCCCAAAGCTGATGAGCAGCAGGGTCAACATTAAGGTCACTCCTCTAGGACAGAAACAGCACTTGGCAGGAGCAGAAATCTTCCACCAAGTGCCTACTGCTCATTTCAGCTGTACCTATGCTAAGACTCCAACAATTCCAACCTGATCCTAGGAGACTAGCGTGGGCAGCTTCGTAAAAAGAGAGTTCTCAGGATTTACCTTACACCTTTTAAGTCCTACTAAGTCTCCGAGGATGGGCTAGATGTGTCTTAAAAGCTGCCCCATGTGGAACACGTTTCCTCCACTGATGGACACAAGTAATAAGATTCGGTCGCGTGACACAGGGCGGTAACTCTTCCAGCCATGGGTCACCTGCCCATCAAATCTGGGAACGAGCTGTGGGACTCACAGCTCTGATGTGATTACTTCAGAGGAACAGCGATGGACAAAGACGGTGTCTGGGAGACAAGTAAGCCAGTTCCCGGATTTTATTCTACGTGGTGGGCTGGCTCCCAGCCAAAGGTTTGCAAGGTCAGATCATGAGAAACTCTGGAGCCTTTTGGGCCAAGAGTGAAAGACTGACTCAGAATTCTCATTTTGAATAAAAGAGGAAGCATAGTTTTAAATTATTTTAATCTAAGTCCACCCTGTTTTAATACCTTGGTTACACTTCCCTACTGTAACTGGTAGGTCACCCTCTCTTGTGAGAAGCTGTTAGTCAATGTGCAAATACATGATTTCCTATCTTCACACAAAAGAACCGGAGCCCAGAGTTTGATAAACCGCCACCTGCCCCATCACCTGTTCACGCCTCTGTCCTGGATTTTCCGTTGACTTGCTTTCGTTCTGATGACTGTCGTTTTCATACCTGAAGAGCACAGAAAGAGAGACACATATTCAGGCTACTGACCTGTAACCGATGGTAAGGCCCGCGTATCTAATTACTATCCAAGGAGCAAGGAACAAACGTCAGGTTTTGTTCAAGATGTTACCTTAATACTGGAAATAAATTTAGAGCTAGGAAAGTGCATTTTACTAAAAAAAAAACAAAAACAAAAAAAACTTGATAAGTTGCCTCAAGTTTCTTTTGGAATACCAGAGTCCGAGGTTGGGGACCCAGATTCATTTCTGACCAGCCTGCATGATTCAAGCTCCCTGAGCACCTGCTATGTGCGAACCTACTGCAGTGGGAGCAGAATCGGTGCCCGCTGGCTTCTGTTCATTGAAATCAAACGATGGCTTGGAAGGCTGACCAGGAAGCCGGGGGCGTCCGATGCCCCAGCCCCTGCGACGTCACTTCCTACAGAGACTAGAGGCTAGAGCTGTGCTGACTCGAGAGCACTGCGATCTCTTCAGTACCCACTTATTCCACCTGTATCTGAACAGACAGGCAGCTGCATGAAGATGGGAGATATCCAGCACGATGCATAGTTGTCTTTACAGACCCTACGTACCAATTCACAGGCCTTTAACATTTTTTTAAAAAATATATATATTTATTGATTTCAGAGAGAGGAAGGGAAAGGGAGAGAGAGAGAAACATCAATGCTGAGAGAGTCAGTGATCGGCTGCCTCCTGCACACCCCTTTCTGGGGATCAAGCCCACAACCCAGGCATGTGCCCTGACTGGGAATCAAACTGCGATCTCCTGGATCATAGGTCGCGATGTTCAACCACTGAGCCACACCAGTCGGGCCAGGCCAACCCTTTAAAAGGCAGACAGAACCCAGGTACCCAGTGAAATAGCCTGATTTGAATTTAGATGCCACCTGAGTGTGATTCGAAGAAGCAAGGTTTCTGGGATGGTTTCTCATGGAACAGAGTCCTGGATCAAGTCCTTCCTGAGACCCATTTCCTGTTCAATCATCTCAGCTAATCTGAACTTGAACAGCATCTCCTTTTGGAGAAACAGTTCTGGTCTCCATTCCACGTCGAATACTCCCTACCTAGAGCTCTCTATTCAATCAAAATGCCCTTTAAAAATGAAGCAAATTCATAAAAAGCACAATAAAAGAAATGACCGGTTGGCAGATGGCAGAATAAAAGGTATTTCACGAAGGCCATCATGCAGGCAGAGTTCCGCTCCGCCAAATGGATGAAAAAATGAGCCAACTACTGGTTTCTACAAGAGACACAACTTAGACGATGGTGAAAGAGTGGAAGATAGGCCTACAAACAGCAACCGGAAGAGGGCTGGAGAGGCCACACCAGAGTCAGACAAAACAGACCAGCACTGTTCTGAGACCAAGCACGAATACAATGACAAAAGGGGTGATCTACCAAGATCAACCGATTATGAACAAACGTGCCCCTGACAGCTGGTTCCAAGAGATGGCCTGAACCTTAAGGATTATGAACAGTTCCAAGTATGTGATAGAAAAAACTATAGTGGGCAATCCTGATCCAAAGCACTCCTGAAGGCACAGAACATGCCAGAATGACACACGACAGAGCCTCATCCACCAGGAGAGCACTCTAAACACATAGATAGCAGAGCCTCCAAGTATAGAAAGAAAACTGACAGAGCTAACAAAACAAAATGAAGAAAAAAAAATCCTCAATGTGTGATTGTAACTTACCTGTTAGAGTAACTAAGAATCAGGGGGCGAGGGGGGAGGACTGTGATTCTAGAGTTAGAAATTTGAAACTAAAGGACATAGAACACTGCCCCCAACAGCTGTAGAACACACCTTCTTTCCAAACACACAGATCAGTAAAAAATTAACCACGTCGGATCATAAAGCAAGACCTGTCGCATTCCAAACACTGGAAGCTACTCAGATGTCCACCCAGAGTGAACAGATCGTGTACGATCGTGTATATAACCGCGCATGTTATTTCAATGTAATACTTATGCAGTGAGAAGGACCCGTGCTCTGAATGTCACCATAAAAGCAACAGAAATCAGTTACAGATACATCCTTCACTGTTACAAATGGATGGAGTTTAATAAACACAAAACTGTAGTGGTTTGGGACGCAGGCTCAGGTAGCTGAACTCCAGCCTTTCGTGCTATGAGAAAGCCAGTGACGAGCTTGGTGAGAGAAATTAGTGATTAGAAGGAGCTTCTGGAAAAGTTCTGGTTATGCCTTTAGTGGTGGGTTAGTTTGCTGGGGCTTCCATAACAGAATATCACACACAGGATGGCTTAAACAATATATTTTCTCACAGTTCTGGAGGCAGAAAGTCCAAGGTCATGGTGTCAGCAGGGTTGGTTTCCTCTGGGCCTTGCTTCTCGCCTTGCTATGGTGCCCCCTGGCCACCTGGACACANGTCATGGTGTCAGCAGGGTTGGTTTCCTCTGGGCCTTGCTTCTCGCCTTGCTATGGTGCCCCCTGGCCACCTGTCATCCCCCTGAGCACCTGCTCCCCTGGTTCTCTCTGTGTCATCTCTTCTTTAAGGACACTGGACAGATTGGATTAGGGCCCACTCTAGAGGCCTCATCTTAACTGGATCACCTCTTTAAAGGCCCTGTCTCCACATACGGTCACGTTCTGAGGTCCTGGGTTTTAGGACTTCAACATATGAATTTGGGGTGGAGGGGGGGGACCACTCAGCCCATAACATGTAACAATCACAGGGCTGTTGGCTCACCTTGTTTTGTACCTTTCTCTATGAGGATGCTTTAGTTTAAAATAATAAACTAAAAAATTATGCAGTTTCTCAATACTTCCAACAAAGTAAACTCCCATAGGACCAGATCACCCCTCCTTGGCACCGTTTTGGCCTCTCAAATCCTTGAACTGGACCCCATAAGCTCCATGCGTCGGTGTGATTTTAGATTAAGAATCAGTGTGGAGAAAGACAATCTCAAACACCTAGACGTCCACCCATGTTAAAGAAGAAGCCCAGCCCCGGCCAGGAAGCTCAGTGGGTTAGAGCATCGTCCTGATAGGCCAAGATTGTGGGTTTGATCCCCTGTCAGGGCACATACAATGAATGAATAAATAAATCCATGTTTCCTCACTCTCTCTTCCCACCCCCTCTAAAATCAATAAAAAGCTGATATTAAAACAAAAAGAAGAGAACCACAGACGATCTGCAAGGCTGGTTTCTGGTGCTTCAGGAGACCCCTTATCCTTACTGACCTGAAAGAGCGGTCGATGACAGTGATCACGTCCCCGTGTTTGAGTTGTACGGGTCCATCGATAGCAGACCCATTCACCTGCGTTGGATTTGTGGCACTGAAATTAAACAAGGTTGCCTGAAAGTAGAAAAGAGGGGAAAATATGTAATATGTAAGTAGTAAGTGAAGCGAATGCTTTTTAAAAATAGACTTCCAAAGCCCCGCTAACCTTCTGCTCATGGATTTCGATTTTGCAGTGCTGTTTGGACACGACAGGAAGCTGGATACGAATGTCACATTCGATACCCCTTAATTGAAAAGAATGAAGATGTTTTAGGTTGTTGCATTTAAAAAAATTACATCTATGTTCCAAATTAAAACAGCATTTGACTGTTTGATCTATAAACGTAATGACATGAAGAAACGTGAATGATCTCTGAATTTTGCAAACAATTTTTACAAGTGTTGTATAAGCAACTACTTTAAATCTTTAAAACTTAGAGCACTTAATTACATTAGAAATCACTACAACATAAAGTTGGTTTGCCTTTTACTGAAACATCTATGCTTATAAGACCCAACTAAGGAATATTTTACATCATTTTGGGGAATGAGAATCATTTTTAATACTCTGCTTTTTTTCCCACTGACGAAGAGGTTTATGTATATTTCTAATGTTATGTATAGTTTAAGGTTTAATCATCCCCCCAAATGCTGTATTTTATGGCAGCACCTCTGTGCCTCAGTTTCTTCATATACAAGAAGAGAATTACATCAGCATCAATGTGTTCTTCCAGGGATAAAAGGCATTATGCAAGTCACCATTTCCCTGACACACAGTAAATGCCATTACTTGTGAGCTATTTTTATTGTTTTAAAACTATACTCCATTAACTGACATATTCACAAGTCTATCACTAAAAATACTAATCTGCAAGCAACAACAACAAAAAAATTTTCTAGATTCCACTTGTTTTTTCACAAAAAGCTAACCACAGCAGGACGCACAGGAAGGGAGATTTCCCAGACCCACAGAAACTCATCAGAGGTCCTCGGTGAGGTCCCCTGGGTGTCTCCATCACCATCCTGAGGTTTTATATGTTTGAACAACTCTAGACTCTCGTCTCTCTTCTCAGCCTGAACCTCTGGAGTCTAAGATCTCTCTTCCTACCTATGTCCTACGACCAAACACTTACTAAGGGGTTTCTAAATGTCAAAATCTTGCATAAAAATATACTTAATCACTGCTGCCATTCGACACCAACATGTTTTTATATACTTTTTTTTCTTTAGAAAAGAAGCTATGAAAAGTGAACAGCTATTTTAAGTCAAAGAAGAGAATTTGATATTTAGGTTAAAAAAAACAACACTCCAGCAAGAGAGACCATCTCATTAGAACTGTTGCCTGTTGTAGGGGCAGAGGGACCACAGTCACCACCACCATCAGCACAAGGAGACAAGAGAGGAGATGTTCTCCAAACACTAGCTGGAGGCCTTTCCCTACCGTTTTCATTTTCCAAAAAAGACCCGCAAGCCCTACGGGAGCCCCCTTCCTTCCTTGCTCAGCAGCATCTCCCAGGACTTCCGGGTGAACAGGGCTGTCTTCTAAAAGGCTGCCCCAGGATGTGACAACCACCTACACTTTTCAACGTTTAAGGATATGTATCAGATCCGTTTTAACATTTACGTTTGCCCGGAACACCCTGGAACACCCGTTACTACATAAACACTGTTTTCTCAGTTCTGTTTGGTGATAAACCCCTGTCCAGGGCACAGTCCCTGGGAAGGGCCAGGCCCAGGCTGCCCCTGTGCGATGGGACACTCAGGGCTCAGGCTGAGCCGCGCGCGGGGCTCACCTCCCAAACAAGCAGGTGCTCAGGCTCAGCGGAAAGTGGGGACCGTCCACCCCGCTCCTCTTGATGGTCACGAGGCGCCCCGTAGGACCCATCTTCTAAACAAGAATTCGAGCGCGATGCGCCCGGGAAGGTCGGGCCGAAGCCCACTCAACAGGCCACTCTTCACGCAGAGACACGCACTGAGTCAAACAACGAAAACAGAAAACGGGGGGCGGGTTACCCTGAAAGCAGAGCCAAGAAGTCCCCGTAAGTGACCCCCCCGGGGTTGCATGTGCAAGTCACCGACGCCCGGTCGCCCCGGCCCCGCTTGTCTGACAGCTGGGGAGCCCCGGCTAGGCCCTGCGCTGCCCCCAGGGCGCCCGCCA